TCACCGAACATCGTTGTCCAGGTGTGTAAACTTTTATTTTATGGTTTGTTTTTTAAGGTACTATCTGCAAGTAATGTGAAAGTAAGTGCAGTTTGACGTTTTCTTTACAAATCTGTTGTGAATGCCACTGGTATTTAAAAAAGTTTAAGAAACATCAAATGCATCAAATGAAGTAAAGTTCGGTCAAGGTGCTCAGACCAACACAGACGTACCATTGGAAATGTTTGCCTTTGCAGCTTTTGATCTTCTCCGTAAACGCAAGATGGTTAAATCCATCCCTCTCCACAAACAAGACGGGTTTGAGAAGAGTTTGACAGGCCTTCCTTTTCATCTGAAATAAAGAAAAAAGAAAATGTTGCTGTTGTTTTAATACATAAATGTTGAGATAGTGTGTTAGAAATGATCTGTGGACAAAATATTTGAAAGGAAGGACTATAAGGAAGGGTATTAACACACAAAGTAAGGATAAATTAATTAAAGTAAATCAGTTATAACTAAATGTCTTCAACATTACCTGTGAAGTGTTGAACCTTTGAAGGACTTCAGCTTCCCTGGCAACTTCTTAAAGTTCAGCATTGAGCTTCGAGATCAAGTTCCCTGTTGATACTAGCAGCTTTCTGACATAACTGATCAAAATTTGATTCTGAGCTTTGAAAATATGCCATGATGAAGAAGAGAAAAGAGCTATATATATATATATTGGCAGATTAAGTGTATAAATGGATGTCAGAGAGTATTGTGTTGACTTTACTGACAGTCATGTGTGTGTGATATCGTGTTGTATTCGTGTCTAGTGGGATTCCTACGGTTCCTGGAACAGTGACTCTGAAGAAAGACTCACAGAACCTGATTGGGATCAGTATTGGGGGCGGAGCTCAGTTCTGCCCGTGTCTCTACATCGTACAGGTCAGACAGCCACACTCCATCCTCATCCTCTCAATCAATGCGTCACATTCAATAATAACGGCGTGGGTTTGTTAGAAGCTATAAAAACGTGTGGTTTTTGTGTTTGTGCAGTTTCCATTGTTTCCGCACACTTTTCAATTGATTCTACACATTTAAGTTTGAAAGTTACTGAAGATTCGTGAGTTTTGAAACGTTCGAGCACGGATTTCAAACACAATTCAGCATAGTAAATGAGACCCGGTGTCTTTATCTGCTCAATTTTACCCAGATAAAATAGTCTTTTTGCGTATGATGTATATAAGTATTTGAATTGTATGATTGTGAAAGGATGCAAGTATTTTTTATTATTTTGTGAAATTCACAAGAACCAGATAAATTGTTGTTGTTGTTTCCTAGTTAAAGTGCATCAGAAGGCTTCAGTCTGTTTCTGTTATAAAATATGCTTTCCAGGATTTGAATTTGTTCTTTTTTTTAAATTAATTTGGAATGTCTTAAATTCATAATTTTATTGTATCAAATGTTGCATGAGAGAATACAGTGCGTTATCATGTAACTTTTTGCAAAATAAATTAAAATACATTAAAATAAATAAAAATGTAAAATACATTAAAAAAAAATCTTAAAATCTTGTAGTGTATCATCAGCTGTTTTACCTGTCGTGAATGTGCCGTTCTGATGTACTGAAGCTCAACCGAGGAGATTTCTGTGTGTTCAGGTGTTCGATAACACTCCGGCCGCTCTGGACGGCACTCTGGCCGCCGGTGACGAGATCACAGGAGTGAACGGCAAACCGGTGAAAGGAAAGACTAAAGTAGAGGTGGCCAAGATGATTCAGGCAGTGCAGGTACAACTCTTAAAACAGCAACTCAAGTCAAATCATGCCAGCTTTATTTGTGGAGCTGTTTTTTTCACAGTTTTGTAATGTCATTGTTTCTGATATCTTAATGTCTTAAAGTCACATTGAGCCGTTCAGAGCTGGATGATTAGACTGTTTACATGTCGAGCTGATGTAAACAACAATACACACCAGTCACACAACACTGCTCTTGTTTGCTATGATTTTAAATGATTATTGACATGTGACAGTGTTATATTTTGAAGTAATCCGTCTGTATCAGCTCAGTCACTCTTTTTTGGACATTTCTTCCAGTTTTGTCATAATACAGTTGAAACTACTATAATGTATAATTTGGTTCACTTAAAGCTGCAATACTGTCAGTCAGATTGATTGCAATTTTTCATTTTCCAAGGGTAAGGTTATAACTGTGTTGTTAAATATTAAAATTGCATATCATTTGTTTGCATTTTTTGTTCATTTAGTGAACTTTGAGAACAACAGTGTGAAAGTCTTGTTTTACATTGTTAAATGGAGGAAATGTGAATCAGGAATCATATGACTGACCTTGTTATATGACAGTCTGAAGTCAAACATTACAGGAATCACAAGAGCAACGTTATTCACACATCATTACCTTATTCTGCCACAGATGTGTTTTCTTCTGTTCTTACGCACAGAATCACATGATCACAGTAGTTCTCTTGTAGAAAGGTTTGTTTTTATTGATGAATGCGATTGTGATCTGCAGGGTGATCCAGTCGTGATCCAGTATAATAAACTGCAGGCCGACCCGAAGCAGGGCAAATCTCTGGATATCGGTAAAAACTCTCAAACTATACTAGCTTAATGTGTTTGAATGGATGCAGAAGTGATGAAGTAGCTCATATGTGTTTGTGTGTGTCAGTGCTGAAGAAGGCAAAAATGTTCAACTTTGAGTTTGGAAACGCAGTCATAAGTAACTATTTTTTATCTGTTTTCAAACAAGTGATTTTTTTTTAATGATTTTTAAAACCAGTTTACATTATTGGTTATGTTGTTAATGGGTTAAAATGTGTGTAACCCTTACAAAAATATCCTGCAGGAATTCCTGAAGGAATGCTGCTTTCTGTGCAGGGATCATGCAGGAATCCTGCAGGACAGAACTAAATTCCTTCAGGACAGAGACATTCCTACAGGGTATTCACTAAAAGAAAACTAAATCTAATTTAGTCCTGCTAATTAAAAACAACTTGTTTTAAGGGGTTAACTAGTTTAATTTTAATTTATCTTATTTAAATTGGTCACCAGTGACTTCTTACAGCATTTTAACGTCCAAAAGAGTTAATTCACGCCGTTTATTCTCAACTAACATCATTTATTATAACAAATCAGTGCGTTTAGATTTTATTAGCGACTTCGCTTCCGCGTCGAACATCAGCAGCGATCACGTGATACCTCGCTGGAGTCCGATTGGACGCCTTTATAAGTGTCTCCGCCCCGCCATCGGTATTGTCTGCCCCAGTGGCCTAATGGATAAGGCACTGGCCTCCTAAGCCAGGGATTGTGGGTTCGAGTCCCATCTGGGGTGAGGTTTGTTTTTCTTTCTTCAGCGTCTGTCGGTGTTCATTTCAGTGAGTGTCAGTTGCGTCTTATAAACGTAGTTTCTCGTCTGGATTCATTCATGCCGTTTTGTCATCAGGAAGCTCTTTGCTGACGGATTTTACACTTCATTTTCAGTTTCTGTGCCGCATGTGACTGAACATCGAAACAAACATGACGAACAGCAGCTTTTGTGCTTTAATTCTCGCTTGTTTTGCTGCAACAGTGAGAAGCGCCCGTAAGTAACCCACTAATTTAACCTTGACTTTCATAAAGCTCGTGTTTCATTCAGTGAAGTGAATGTTTTATGCGTTTATATGACCATATGTTCCGTGCAAATCTGCGTCTGATCTCTTTAAAACACACTGCTTTTGTTTTGCTCATAAGAGTGCGAGTCAAGTGTGTGTTAAGTGAGTTAAAGAGGAATTGACTGACGCTGCAGGTTTGTCTGTAATGATGATCATGCACATGATCCTGTGAAATCTGATGTGTGACTCCAGTTACTTTATGGTTACTTAACAAAGAGATCAAGTTGCAGGGAAATGTAGTATAATATTATAGTTCAGATTGACTTCTTTCAGCATTTTAACTTCCAAAAGTGTTCATTCACACTGTTACTTTATGGTTAGGTAACAAAGAGATCAAGTTGTAATCATGCATTATTAAAATCAAAAATAATTTTAGTGTCTGTTAATATTTAATGGATCTGAGCTGACATGAACTAACAATGAACACTTGTATTTTCATTAATGTTAACAAAGATGAATAAAAACTGTAACAAATGTTCGTTAATGTACTTAATGGGACCTTATTTTGCCAGGTTTGCCAATTTATCTAACAAAAACAAAGTTTTTGAGCAGCAAATCAGCATATTATACTGATTTCTGAAGATCATGTGACACTGAAGACTGAGTAATGATGCTGAAAATACAGCTGCACATCACAGGAATAAATTACAGTTTAACAGATATTCACATAGAAAACAGTTATTTTAAATAGTAAAAATATTTCACAATATTACTGATTTTGCTCTATTTTGGATCAAATAAATGCACCGTTTGTCTTTAATTAATATATAAAAATATAATTTAAGTTTTAAGGCACATTATCTTTAATTGAAAACTGATTTGTGTGTGTGTGTTTCATTATTAGCTTTTATTTAAAATTCACTTATTGAATGTAGATTCATTTTCTAAGCTAACAGGGTCTCTGCAAATAAAATAGTAAATGTTGAGTATTAATTTCTCTTCTCACATCCTCAAAAGTTCCTCCTGTGGTTAAAAACGGCATAAAGTATTTTTAAGGAAGTAGCAGATGCCCACACGAGTCATAATCACAACCTTATTCTGTTGCTGTGTTTTCATGTTAATGTGGTGTGTTTTTAATCCAGAGCTGCTGAAGGCCACGGCGTACTGGGATTCGACCCACAAGGCCGTTCTGCTGAAGGAGGGTGTTCTGGACCGGCAGGGCGACGCGTACGGTTACTATAACGACACGCTGTCGTCGACGGGATGGGGCGTGCTGGAGATCAGCGCTGGATACGGACAGACGGCGGAGCCGGACCACGTCACCATGTTCACGGCGGGATATCTGGAGGGCTTCCTCACCGCGCCGTGAGTGTCTGTAACACCAGACCGTCTCCATCTCCTCAGACCTTCAACAACCTGATTCATGCAGATGCTGTGAATCCTAGTTTTATACCCAGATCATTTCCTGCAGCATAATTTCCTGTCTCTATGTAAGGTGCACCTATAATGTTCGTTTCTTGCACTAGAAACCGTTTTTCGTGGTCATTGAACACCTTCTTTCTGACCTTACTGTTTAAACAGACTGTGTCTGCTACAATCACATTAAGTCAGTATATGTAAATATATGACTGCTATATGTAAATGAGCCCTCGGGTGATTGGCAAACTTTTTTTTTTGTGATTGCATTCAGGTTTGGATTCATGTTTTAGTCATTCATTAATAGGTTTCTCAACCTGCGTTATTATCATTAACTACAACTAAGATGATAAATAAATGATTATTTATTCAAATAAAATCTTAAATATGAGATGAAAAGTTGAGATGAAGAATAGAAATTATGCATTGGCAACTAACTAAACTGAAATGAAACCTGAGTAGTAAGTAAAAAATAATAATAAGGCACAGAAGAAAATTACTACAAATTAAACTTTGTGTGAAAAATTCTGACGGGTTTTCACAGTATATCAGTACAAGTATTATTTAAAAATATGAATACAGATTTTTCACATTTTAGTTTATTTGGGCTAAAATGTAGTTTTACAAAGTAATTTTCCTCAGTTTGATTATGTTCTCAAGTGGAGAAAAGTACGAATTAATAATAATGACCTTAAGCACTAAAATGATTGGAAATAAATTAAAACTAAAAGTGAAACTAAAACAATTTTTTTTGCCCATTTCTAAACTAATAAAAATAAAAAAAATATATAAATAAAATGTAATATAAAAAAAAACAAATAAAGATGACCAAAAAACCCATGCTTAAACTAAAATTAATAAAAGCTATAGACATTTCAAAATACCAAAAAAAAATTAAGATTAAAATGACAAAAAATTGAATTTAAAATGAAAACGCAAAATATTTAAGTATATACTGGGAAGATTAGTTAAAAAAAAATACTTTAAAAATGACAAATGTTTAAAAATAGTTTTTATTTGATTTTTTTTTAAGGCTCTGTTTCATGTGTTTGTTCTGTGTTTTAAAAAAATGACTTGAACATCTAAAAATACTTTAAGGCTGTATTTCCTTTATTTGTCTTAATTCTTACTTTTTTTGAGTTTTTTATTTGTTTTATTCAGACACTATTTCCTTTTGACTGAAACAGCAGACGAGCTGAATGAGACGCAGATATACTCTCTGCCAGCAGGTGGCGCTTAAAGCGTTTCCTTGTTTCCGCTGTAAACAAAGAGCTGCACTTATGAACTTTAAAGGGGTCATATGATGCGATTTCAATTTCTCCTTTCTTTTTGGAGTGTTACAAGCTCTTGGTGCATAAAGAAGAGCTCGCGGTTAATCATTACATCCCTAATTAAATGTTTTATTAAGGATCTATTTCTTCTATTTTTCCTATTTCTTTCTTTAAAAATGATGCAAACATTTAAACATCTTTTCAAATAAATCTGAGGTGTATTTAGCTGAAGGTTTATTAGCATTAGTCAGTGTGTGTTTGTTTCACGCTCGTCTCTCTCTGTAGCCTCTGTCCCAGTTTGCCGTTCAGTTCCTGAATGCGGTCGGTGATCTGCTGGATCTGATCCCGGCGCTGGTTACCAGCGGGAAGCCTGGCTTTAGTCAGTATAAAGCTCCTCCGATGGGCCACTGCTCTGCACTCATAAAGGTACCAAACGTCCATCAGAAATGACGTCAGACATCAGCTGATGTGATGGTTTCTCTCATTTGCCGTGTGTTTCAGATGTTGCCTGGCTTTGAGAACCTGATGTTTGCTCACTCCAGCTGGTACACGTACGCCGCCACCATGCGCATCTACAAACACTGGGACTTCAGACTGAACGAACCGCATACGGCCACCGGAAAACTCTCCTTCAGCAGCTACCCTGGTACACTCACTCACTCATTTCTTACTTTAAAAATTAAACATCTGAGAAGTTTGATTTATTTGATTAAGATTCTATTTCCTTTATTTTTCTTGTTTATAACTTGATTTAAATGACTTGAACTTCCAAAAAGAGATTTTATTGGCACCCTGGTAAACACACTCAATCACACATTCATTCACTCACTCACTCACACACTCATTCATTCATTCACTCATTAATTTACTCATTCTTCACACACTCATTCACTCATTTTTTTCACTCATAAATTTATTCATTTACTCATTCATTCATTTACTGATTGATTTATTCACTCACTCACTAATTCATTCATTCATTCATTTGCTCACTCACTCATTCATTCAGTCACTCATTTTCTCACTCACTCATTGATTTACTCCATTCATTCATTCATATTCACTCATTCATTTATTGATTCATTTATTCATTCACTCATTCACTAATTTCCTCACTCACTCATTCACCCACTCTCACTCATTCGTCACTCACTCCTTCATTCACTCACTCCTTTATTCACTCACTTACATTCACTTTTATTCACTAACTCATTCATTTATTGATTAATTTATTCACTCACTCACTCACTAATTCATTCATTTCCTCACTCATTCACTCTCACTCATTATTCACTCATTCAGTCACACACATTAATTTACTGATTCATTTATTCACTCACTCACTAATTTCTTCTCTCATTCATTCATTCAGTCACTCACTCATTCATTCACTCACACACTCACTCATTTTTTTCACTCATACATTTATTCATTTACACATTCACTCATTCATTTACTGATTCATGTATTCACTCACTCACTAATTCATTTATTCATTCATTTGCTCACTCACTCATTCATTCAGTCACTCATTTTCTCACTCACTCATTCACTCATTGATTTACTCCATTCATTCATTCATATTCACTCATTAATTTATTGATTCATTTATTCACTCACTCATTCACTAATTTCCTTACTCACTCATTCACCCACTCTCTCACTCATTCGTCACTCACTCCTTTATTCACTCACTTACTCACTCCATTCACTTTTATTCACTAACACATTCATTTATTGATTCCTTTATTCACTCACTCACTCTCTCATTCACTCACTCATTTCACTCCTTTTTATATTATCTGTAATGTACTGTTTTTAAAGTTGCAGGGCAGTATATACTGTGTAGTATAGTAGTGTTATATTGTATTTGTTTATAATAGTATTTTTCGAGTAGCAGGCAGGATATAGTGTGTGGTTTGTGCAGTATGTGAATGGCTGATGTCTGTGAATGTGTGTTCAGGGTTTCTGGTGTCTCTGGATGATTTCTATCTGCTGGGCAGCGGTTTAATGATGACTCAGACCACCAATAACGTCTTCAACACCTCGCTGTACTCCTACATCACTCCTGCCAGTCTGTTCTCCTGGCAGAGGGTTCGACTGGCACACGCACTGGCAAGCACTGGAGAGCAGTGGGCCAAAACCTTCTCCAGATACAACTCTGGTCAGAAATCACATTCACTCACTTGCAGTTACTAATAAAGTTACTGATCAGCTGATGTTTTATTTACTCTGTTTTTGGTTTTTGTGAGTGTTCTGTCTGGACTGTGTTTGCTCTGTCATGAGGGTTTCTCTGATCCTGTGCTGAATCTGTCCGTCAGGGACGTATAATAACCAGTACATGGTTGTGGATGTGAGTAAAGTGAATCTGGGCAGCAGTCTGGAGGACGGAGCGCTGACTGTGGTGGAGCAGATCCCGGGACTGGTGGAGTATTCAGACCAGACGCAGACGCTGCGCAGAGGTCCGACCAAAATACACTTCATGCTGAACATTTCAGTTCTTTTGACTTTGGGTTGTTCTGAAACCTGGACATGTTGTGCATCTGTTGCTATAGTAAATGTGTTTCTTCTGCAGGTTACTGGCCGTCCTACAATGTGCCCTTCCACCGTAAGATCTACGATCTGAGCGGATACGAGCAGATGTGGAAGGAGCATGGCGAGGATTTCTCCTACGACCTTTGCCCTCGCGCCAAGATCTTCCGCCGCGACCAGTCGTCTGTCCGAGACCTGAACTCCCTCAAACACATCATGAGATACAACGGTAACGACTCACAACATTTACTAACTCCTGATGATGTCCATAATAAAACGGTAAAACGGTATCAGTATTTATCGACGGTACTCCATCATCGATAACGATAGAAAAATGTTCGATATGTTGCACGATAGCTTCACGCTTTTTTCATTTAAAAGTGAAAAACAGAGAGCCAACAAAACACACAAACACATGCTGAAATGAGTGCCATGCCTGCCTGCGATGAGGAGACTGGGAATCAAAAAAAGCAATATTAGTCGAATTTAAAATAAAAATTCGCATTCGAATGCAAAAACGATGTATTTGAATATTAGGTGTGCGTCAGGGAGCTTATCAGATTAACATGTAAGTGTCGTTGTTGCATTTGAATGTTTTTGTTAGTCTATCCAGTTGAACCCACAAACTGCGTCGCTGCTACATTTTTCATTCAAAATATAAGAGAAATATAGAAGCTCAATGCAAAGATATTGCTTAGGTTAAAACCCAAACCAAGCCATTTACACAGAACGCATATTCGGCGCATTCTTGAGGTGCACAACTTGACTTGTACTCATGTCTCGAAAAAGAGGTTCAACTTTTAGGAAACGCGTCTGGAGAATTTGTGGGGGGTTTATTCCATTCCACTGCGTCTCATATATTTTTAAATGCAATCGTGTGATCGGCACTTTGGCTATTTTTATTAAGCTATGCACAAATACATGATCCTGTTTTGTTCATAATTGTTTATGCAATTTATAAAATTCTATTTGATTTATAAATATTAGTTTAGACGGTTTTCACTTTTTTTATAGACAATCGTTATTTCATTGCATTGAATAAACAGTTTATCGAGGTGCATTATTTTGCTTATTGCGCCCTCCTGTGGCCTCAGGAGACAGGCAAATGTTTCCTTAACACTTATTTAATCTGCATATAATATATAAGGAAGGAGATATTTGTTAATTTTATTTTGTGTTTGATTGTTAAAACTAAAATATGTTCTTGTTTGTCTTAATAAATTGGGTAAATTAAAAATACAGTGGTTAAATTTAAACCTTTTTTCTACTGCTCTTTGTTTAAGAGGTTATAGAAAATAATTATCAATACCGAATGATAAGAAACATTATATCGTGATAGATTTTTTTTAGCTAGATTTTGTTTTTGTTTTTTTAATGTATCATTTTTATTTAGTTTTGAGTTATTTTTGTACTTCAAGTTAAACTAAATGAAAGTTAGAATGTTGCAAGCTTAAGTGAACTTTTTTTTTAAGTGTTTTGGGAATTTTTAATGTCTATATATTTGTCTGTAATTGTTGTGTATATAGTTTTTTTTAGTTTATTTTAGGAGAAATGAGAAATGTTGCATTGGCAATTCGCTGAAATAAAATTAGATCAAGTTATTTTAATATTTTATTTCAGTTCATGTTTATTTTATTTCAAGAAAACCATTTAAAAAAACATGTTTTAATTCTAGTACTTTATTGTTCATTTATGACAGTCACAGTAAAATACTAAAATTAAAACATACTAGCTTATTTGAGTTTGACTGAAGTTTTATTAGACAGAAATAAAACTAATTAAACATTGTTTGTAGTTTTGGATAGCGATAATATCCCTGGTCATATCTACAATCAATCAAATCAAAAAATAAAAATAAGCTAATATTTTATTTCTAGTATATCATTGTTCACTTATGATGGTTAAATAAATAAAATACTACAGTTAAAACACTATAGCTTATTAAAGATAATTTAACGCATAAAATTATAAGTTTTTATTTTATTTCAGTTAACATTTAATTAATTTAAAGTGAATAAAATGTTTTTTATATTTTTAGGTGTAGTTAACAATAATGTCTATGGTCATATCTACAAAAAAGAAAAATGGAATTCAAATAAGCTACTATACTACTTTATTGTTAACTTATGATGGTAAAATAAGTAAATAAAATACTACAATTAAAATATAATGGCTTATTTCAGTTTCCATAGAAATAAATAAAATAAATAGTACATAAAAATATATAGTTACTACATTTTGGTTAATTTAGCCTTTAAATATCACCGAGTAAAAGCCATTGCTACATTATAATGAGGCACATGTTTGCATAATGAGCTCAGGACCTGTCAGTTACTGTCTCCTCGTGTCAATCATAATGTCAATCTGTCCTCAGATTATAAGAGCGACCCGTACTCGCAGGGCGACCCGTGTAAGTCCATCTGCTGTCGCAACGATCTGTGGGAGCATCAAGCCAGTCCCGGAGGATGTTATGACACCAAGGTCAGCTGACCGCCTCTAATTAACCAATCAGATTGAGTCTTCTGCTCTCCTGACGCTCTGCTGTCCTCCGGTCAGGTGACGGATCTGCACATGGCTCAGGAGTTCGTGGCGGAGGCGGTAAACGGCCCGACCACAGACGGAGGGCTTCCCGTCTTCTCCTGGGGGCCGTTCAACAGCACGTCCCATCAGGGTCTTCCTCCGAAATACAACTTCAGCTTCGTCCAGATGCAGCCGCAGCTCTTCCACCCCTGAGGATCATGGGATTTCACATCTGGCCTGCTTTTGAACTGATCCTCTGTTCGCCGTCTGACGCTAAAACCAATCTGAACCTTTGAGTCTGTCGAATCGCTGTTTACTTTGAGCCATGAAATCCACACTAAACTCTACAGCTGCCATTTGACAATCAGTCCAGCACTGTTTACATCTCTCTTGATTGATAGATTGAGTAAATCGTATTGCTTTAATGCTCGTTTCCACTACACAAGATAAAAAAAAACAACAACATGCCTTGGTAAATCATAATTGATGCAAATAATAAATGACATCAAAACTTGAAATTATGATATACAACTTATGATATAAGCTGAACTTGAGATACTAAGTCATATTTATGAGAAAAAGTCTAACGTACAACATGCTAAATCATAATTGTGAGGTAAAAAGGCTAAATTATGACACATTATAGGTCGAAATTGACATAAATGACTTTTTGTCAATGTTGACTTTTCGTCTCAAATATAACTTATAATTTCGACTTTTTAACTTCATAAATATGACTTGCATCTTTTTGTTTTTTCTCGACACTTCACCTTATAAATGTTACTTCATAATTTTGTCTTTTCATCTCATGAATGACTTCGAATGTTAAGATTTTGACTTCTGTAATAATTATGATTTACCAAAGCATGACTTTTTTTGTCATGTGGCAGAAATGGGTTTCCATATCTTACCGCAACATGCTTAAAGTGAGGACGTCAGCATTGTTGTCATTTTTTTTTTACATCTAGTTAAAGATCCAAATAAACGACACGAACAGAAAAGCAAAGTTTATAATGTAAATGTTGGGACGTTTCTTACATTTTCAGATCTCTCCTCTCAGGGAAGGTGACTCAGAAGTGCCTTGTCTTTTATCTTCAGCTCTGAATGTCTGTGAGCATCTGTCGATCAGGATGTTTGTAATCTGTGCCGCATGTGATTTTCTCTTTGATTCAACCAATGAATGAATGAACACAAGCTTCACTTCTCAGTCTTGAGTGTTTTTGCTGGACACAGGTTCACTAATTCAGTCGGCTATTCTGCACTTGTGCTCGACTGAAGCGTTTGATCGGTACAATTTTACTACAGTAATGTTTGACCAAAGGAACCCAGATAGCACAAATATCGAAGCTAATCTCAAAATCAAATCAGAATATTTGTTGTAAAAAAAATTCTGTAACAGCTGCCACAAACTCTACTGTGATTTGTGATATATTTATATTATGTGATTTGGTTGGGAAAGAAAAACTCTTATAATCTTATAATCCCACACTTCTGTCTTTTTCCCCCCCCCAGAATTGACAAACTTGTAATTGTTGCGTTAAATTGAGTTATAAAGTCCGAACAAGGAGAATTAAACTTGCATTTGTGAGAAAAAAAGTCAGAATTGTGAGATAAAAGAGGTAAATGTTTAAAAATTATTTCATGCTGTAACTGTAAGACTAATAAAATATGCTATAAACAGTGTTGGGGGTAACTCATTACAAGTAACGCGAGTTACGTAATCAGATTACTTTTTTCAAGTAACTAGTAAAGTAACGCATTACTTTTTTAATTTACAAGAAAATATCTGAGTTACTTGCCAGTTACTTTGTTTTCCCATTTATTGACTGACAAGTCTCCTGTCCCCATATTGGGAGAAATGGGGAGTACAGAGGTGTTGTGTGCGCTGTGTGAACATGATGTTACTGTAGCTCTAGACTAAATGTGAATGTGCATTAATTCATCCCACTCACAAAAAACAGATTTAGTATTCACCAAAATGAATTAAAACCTGCAATAATTAAATATGTTAAAGGGGTCATATGATGCGATTTCAAATTTTCCTTTCTCTTTGGAGTGTTACAAGCTCTTGGTG